CAGATGAACAGCCCCAATCAGGGAACTCATAGTCTGTGAGGTCCACCTGGCTGACCTTGTTACAATCATTACACTTTGTGTCAGTATTGCAGATACAGGTTGTTTTTTTTTTCAATCCAGGGCCTTGGTTTAACAATCTCATCCAAAACACATCACATAGATTGTACTTCTAACTTGAGTCTCTTAAGCAACCCCAATTTTATTTGCTGTACCATTCATCGCCATGTTTTTAATTGCCTAGGCCCCAAACTCTGGAATTCACTTCATAATCCTTCAACCTCACTTTGCTCCTTTAAAACAAGTCTTAAAACCTACCTCTTTGACCGAGGCTTTTACTTCCTAATGTGGTTCAGTGTTATATTACTTTGTCATGCTCATGTGAAATGTCTTGCGACATCTTATTATGTTCAAGGTAATATATAAATATACATTATTGTTGCTATTAATTCTTGAATAAATGCCTCCCTTTCACACAACTGGGCTCATCATCTTAACTTCTTCTGGTCCTTGGTGCCCTGAATATAGACATAAGCTATTTGTCATGCCACAGGGGATATGTCTCTTTGTTGATGCCCTGTTCCCTGAGACCCAACTGTTCTGTGGTACCTCCCTCAAATGATATTTGTGAAAGATCCTAGAGAGTAAATGTTTTCCAGCATCATATCTGAGCCTGAAACTGCTCTTGTTGCATTCAAGGGCAACGGTACAGAAATTCCAAATTTATTACCCTTCCCCAAATAGACGCAGCGCATTTGACCTCAAATTTGACCTCACTCACGGTAAGATTTAGCTCAGATAAGAAAATGGGGCAGCATGATGGCTCACAGCACCATGGATCTGGGCTCGATTCCAGCCTTGGGCAACTGTCCGTGTGGAGATTGCACATTCTCCCCACGTCTGAATGAGTTTCCTCCCACAGTCCAAAGATGTGCAAGTTAGGTGGATTGGCCATGCTAAATTACCCATAGTGTCCAGAGATGCATAGGCTAGGTGGATTAGCTACGGGAAGTACAGGGTTACAGGGATAGGGTAGCGAGTGGTTCTGGGTGGAATGCTCTTTGGAGGGTTGGTGTGGACTCAATGGGCCAAATAGCCTGCTTCCACACTGTATGGATTCTATGGAGCAACTTCAATCCAATCATTCTGTGGATGTAAGATGGTCAAACAATAACGTGAAATTTAATGCAGTGGAGTGATGAATTTTGGGAGTTGTAGCAATAATCAGTAGAGGCAATAATAATAAAAGATAAAATTCTAAAGGGATATGAGAACAGAGATACTTGAGGGTGTACGTACACAGTGCCAATAGTCAGAGAACATTTATTTGAAAATAATTGGTAGAAAGATCCAAAGAGGAGATGAAACAATTGCTCTTGCAATGTGGATCTTGCAGCTGCTCCTGTTTCTGCAGGCTTAGTTACAGATGTATTATAGTTTTATTACAGTTATTATAAAAGACATTTGGATAAGTACATGAACAGGAAAGGTCTGCAGGGATATGAGCCAGGATCAGGCAAGTGGGACTAGTTTAGTTCGGGATTATGTTCGGCATAGACTGGTTGGACCAAAGGGTCTGTTTCCGTATCATTTAACACATACATAGGCCTGGTTTACTGTCTCAACCAAACTATTGCATTTCTGACCACTCTGAGAGCATAAAGTCTTAAATCACGTGATTTGGTGTGGTGCTAGAACCCACAGCTTTGTGGACTAAAGCAAGTTCGGGAAATTGGATGAAGTAGCAAGCAAACACTTGTAGTCACTCATTTATGAATTTTAGTAAGGTTCTGTGCCTGCCATAAGCAGATTATGCAAATATTGAATAAGTTAAGTCTATTCGGCTGTCAAAACATATCATTCCAGTGCTCTGTGTTCTGTAATGAGCACTAAAGGAGGCGGGTGAATGCAGTAAAGCTTTTAAAGAAAAAAGCTCTATGAAAGCATTGTTATGCCTTTATTTCCTCCTCCAATGTTCACTCAATTCTCCTTAAAGTGCTGACTCATGTTGGTGCACAGATGCCAGCTTGCCCAGTGGGGATCACGGCCATTTGTACACTTATTCAACAATCCGGTGACAGGGTGAGACCAGGGAGAAGGGTTTAGATAACTTAATCAAGTGCAGGAATGACAGTCTGAATTCTTACCTTCCTGAAACTGAGGAGAATGGAAGTCCCCACGCTGTTACCCTGGAGCAAGATTATTTACCTGAATACTGATTGAAGATCTACCCACACATCAAGCTGGTCTGTGTGAGCATGTTCCAAACCAGACATTGAGTTTATCAAGTGAGTCATACAGATAGATTTTATCAGGGAAAATGGTAGTACAGTGATGATGTCACAGGAATGTGGATGCAGGTTCATGCAAATCCCACAATAGCCGACAATGAGTTTAAATTCAATTAATTATTCTGGAATTGAGAGGTGGTCTTGTAATGGTGACTGTGAAGCTATCATCGACTGTTGTGAATGCCACTTAGTTCACTAACTCCCTTTAGGAAGGAAGCTCCACCATTGCTTACCTGGTCTTGACTGTTGTAGGAATCCATCCAATGCCCTTTGGGGAAGGAAATCTATTGTTCTTACCTGGTTTGACATCGTTGTGACTCTAGATACAAAGCAATGTGGTTGACACTTAATTGCCCTCTGAAATTGCTAAGCAAGCCATTTGGATCAATTAGGGAACAGCAACAAATGCTGGCCTTTCTTAGTGATGTCCATATCTTGTGAATCAATGAAGAAGGTCCTCTCCTGGTCTTTATATCCAGCTTAAAAACAATTTAAATCCCACTCTTTCTTCTATTTACCACCACCATTTCCAACTTTTATATAACTGGGACTCCCGATGAGTGTGGCCATCCTGCACATTGGCTAAGAGTAATATGTAGTTGTATCAGCTTGCCTGTTGTCTAAAAAGCATTGCTGGACACTATGTGCAATTTAGCATGGCCAATCCACCTAACCTGCACTTCTGAAGGTGGGAGGAAACCAGAGCACATAGAAAAAACCCATGCAGACACAGAATGTACAAACTCCACACAAACAGTTGTCTCAGAGTGGAATTGCACCTGGGTCCCTGGTACAGTGAGGCAGCAGCGCTAACCACTGAGCCACTGTGCCACCCCCAAACTCTGGAAACCTGAGCTCACTCAAATCTCTGCTGCATGTATCCTAACTTGCACTAAGTCTCATCACCTATTCCCACTTCCCTCCCACCAACCCCAACTATTGACATTGATATTCCCAATCCAACAACTCCTTGTTTCCAAATTCATTATCTTTTTCTACTCCTGCATTCTCCAGCTTCAAAAGAATCAGTAATTGCTATCCTCCAATTCTGGCCTCTTGAGCATCCCTGATTCTAATCACAGGCCTTCAGCTACCTCGTCCCCAAGCCTGGAATTTCTTCCCTAAACTCTCCACCTTTCAGTCATCCTAATAAATCCATCTCTTTGACCAAGCATTAGGTCACTGTGCTAGCTAATATCTTTTCAGGAGTTTCAATGTTTGTGCTCCACAACAATGGTGTGAAATGACTTAATTCATTTTATGGCCTTGAAGGGATTATATAAATGCAAGTTGTTGTGGAAGGGCAGGTGGGGCTTAGCTCTTGTTCACTGCCCACTGTCCTCAACTTGTCTCCTTATAACTCTCATATGCCAATGGGATAAGTTACTAGAGGGTTATAGCAACTGTGCTCCAATGAAGGAACTTATTTTGTTCATATGGGTATCGCTGACAAAATCAGCATTTATTTCCCACTCCTAATTGAAGCATGTCAGATGCTAAAGGAGATTGACAAAGCAGATGTAAAGAGGGTGTTTCCCTTGGTGGGGCAACCTAGAACGAGAGATCAAAGATTTAGGCCAAACGGTGGCAGATTTCAAACAGAGATGAAGAGGAATTACTTCTCTCAAAGGGTAGTGAATCTGTAGAATTCACTCCCCCAGAGTGCGGTGGATGTGAGGGCACTGAATAAATTTTAGGAGGAGATAGTAGGAACTGCTGATGCTGGAGAATCGGAGATAACAAGGTGTAGAGCTGGATGAAACAGCAGGCCAAGCAGCATCGGAGGAGCAGGAAAGCTGACGTTTCGGGTCTGGACCCTT